CTACAGAACTTCAACTCCTAGACTTCCTAGCCAGCCTGAAGTCCATGTATTGCTAAGGTTGAGAAAGACAGACCAAAAACCGTGGTTATCCGCTCTACAGAACATCCTATCCCCACACCAATCCATCACCCTGTATTCTGGTTTAACGTAATAGCATGGTTCACACCTGTGATGACTTAGATGGACTTCCTTCTAATGTGCTCAGCCAGAAACAATTTTCTCCTATTTCACTCTAATCTAATCATGTTAGAAGAGCCCATTTAGGGGAACAAGGCAGAACTGGAAATTGTCCAACAGCAGGAAGACGATGGCTGTGAGTTCAGTTTTTAAAAGGACATCACACGTTGTGCAGGCAGATAAACATGCCTGCTCCTGGGAATGAAAACCTGGATTAATTCCCAACATCACTGTGGTTCTTCAAGCACTTCCCTCCAGGCACCACCGAGGCGCATCTATGAAGTCATCTTTCAAATGATTGATTCAACTTATTTCTTATTCAGAGAACGTTCAACCCTGGGATGCAGAGAGAAAATTTGGATTGGAAATGGGAGGATGGGTTCACATGAACAGGTGAAACCCCAACCAAATGCAGGATAACAAGAACCTTGCTGTTCGCAAAGTGTGTCACGTCCGAACCAACCAACCAACAACCGGTATTCTGGCGGTTTCACACAACGGCCTGAATCAACGGACGATGTTCTCGCAAACAATGGACCACAAGTCACCGTTCTATAGGAGCCTACTTTAGAGTTGCACAAACTCACGTCTCTCATTTGGGGAGATGGATTCAGACAACCCAAAGCTCTCCAATCAACTAGACCCAGTTGGATTCAGCCAGTTTGGACCGGTTTTTAGCGAACTGGATGCTGATTTTATATCTGGTTCACCAAACCGGTAGTTGCAACGACTGGCTGGCCCCGCTCACCCAGTCTTCACATGGCCCATTTTGGATCCTGGTGCAGGGCCCGCGCAAAGGCTCAAGGATGGCAAAAAATGGGCCTTGTGAAGGGTCTGGAAGGCTGGAAATGGGCCGTTTTCACCCTCCTGGAAGCTCGTGGGAAGCCTCCAGAGCCCGAAGAGGGCAAAGACGTCTCCCCCCGCCCCGCTATGGTGCAGGAGGCCGAGTAGGCCATGTCCACCATGGTCACACCCAACTGGGCAGAAAACCGGTTGCTGAAATTTTGAATCCCATCTCTGACTAGAACAACCAGATAGCCAGGTTTAACTATTACAATATGGATCTTCGTCAAAAGTTTGAGAAGGCACGGAGAACCAGTGATGAATATACGATTGTATTTTACTCAACATTTAATCTCCGTTATTCATCACAGTATTCGTCACTTGCTACTGGCAGAAGATATGATTCATTACCAGCTAGAAAACGGATCCATCACCGCGTACGTTAAAATACACTTTAGGCAGGTTCCCGATACCAGCTCAGTGCACACTGATAAGGTTAAGCAGAAAGGTTTCAAAAGGAATCTGAATTTCAATCCGTTTTAAGTTTTCACAAGCAGGCCTTCGTCAGCCTGAATGCTGATGGCTTACACAGTGCTGTGTATTTGTGATTTGATTCTTAATTTCCCCCTTTTGTGCAAACAGCCTTTCCAAAGCGAGTGAGAAATTCTGCTCTTTTTCCTGGCCCAAGGCTGAGAATTGCTCCGGTTACCGAAATGACCCAGTTTCTGGTACATTCCTCATGCACACTGGCTTTGCCTCACTAGGCAAGAATTTAACACATGCAAGAATTCAGCTCAATTGGCACAGGGAGAAATACAGAGGGTTCTATGTGAGTGAAAGGCAATCATTTGTGTGTGTGTGTCTGTGTGTGTTTAAAGATCTGTGCTTGAAAACAAAAATGAAATTCGAGTAGAGTCTGCCTGCATTCGCATCACATATTTAAATAGCTTTCTCATGAACCCATTTTCTGGGTTCATACAATACATGGAACCAAACCAAGCTGGTTTCACAAATCACACTTGCCAATGGGTCCGGCATTGAGGGGGCGGAGAGAGATGTTGGAATCACAGTTTGAATTAACCCAATTCCTGTGAATGTGATGCAAAAGCAGGCATCTGAAGATTAACTGACCCGGGGGATCCCAGAGTTATTTTTTTTCAGGAGGCCACTGGAGTTTTTTTTTTTGCTTTTTCTTTTGAAGACGTTTCGCTTCTCATCCAAGAAGCTTCTTCAGCTCTGGCTGGAAGGTGGGGAATGGGAGGATGACTGAGAATCTCTAGAGACTTTTAGCTATGCAATTTGAGATGAACACGCTGGATTTCCAGAGGAAGAAAAAAATGCAGACTATAGGAACCATGTGCGTTCCTCGGGTGACCCTGAGGGCACAGACAAACCTCCGAGTGGCCTCAATGACCCTCTAAAAAGATGCAAATGACCAGCTGTCTGCAAGGACTATGAATCTTTCCATTCCCCACCATCCAGTCAGAGCTGAAAAAGCTTCTTGGAGGAGAAGGGAAATGTCTTCAAAAGAAAAAAAAAACAAACAAGGAAGTTCAGTTGCCTACTTTAAAAAAAGGCACCTTTAGGACAACCATGACTTGGATGACTGAGAATTACAGACTTTGACCTGGAGGATATATAGACCCCAGAGTTCTCTGCACCCCTCTTTCATAACAGCTCTATGATTTGATTTACAAGTGGGTCACTCTTCCACCCTGCTTAACTTACTCAAAACAAACCCAAGGAACCCGTGTTGGCCTGGATTGGAATAATAGGATTGGAGAGGATCTTGCAGGCCTTCAACTCCTGTCCAAGGCAGGATGTCTTATTGCAACCTGGATAAATGGCTGTCCAATCTTTTCCAGAAGTCCTCTGGTGATGAAGCCCCCACAACCTCTGAAGACAAGCTGTTCCATTGATTTATTGTCAGGAAATGTTCTCTTTAGTTCAAGGTTGGGTCTGCCTTTAAGGAGCTTCCACCCATCCCTGGTCGTCCTGCCTTTCTTTGCAGAATAGGTTGACCCCTCCTTCCCGGGGACAGCCCTTCAAGCGTTGGGAGGCAGCTATCACGTCAGCCCTCATCCTTCCCTTTGTTAGACTAGACCAGTGGTCTCCAACCAGTGGGCTGGGGACCACTGGTGGTCCACGAGAAAATTTGGGGGGCCCGCAGAGAAATGTCACCCCCCAAAGCAATTAATCCAGGCTGCGCGGGAACACAAGGCTGCGCCGCCCACATGGCCCGTGGGAACACAAGGCTTGCGTCGCTTGCATTGCGAACAACACGAGGTAGTGAGGGGAGGGGGGAAAGGACAGAGGGGGGGAAGTTGCCCCACTCACCCCACGTGCCTGGCCTGGCCACCGGGCTGCTTCTTTCTTCTTCTGCTTTTGGCTGCACGCAAGGAAAGCAGCCAAAGTCTTTCTTTCTCTCCCCCAAACTCCTCCAGAAATGAGTCTTTGGGACCCTGCAAGGCCTCCTGCTCCAAGAGGCTGCGCCGGTGTGACAAGCCTCACAAAGACTCATTTCTGGTGGAGTTTCAGGGAGAGAAAGAAAGACTTCTGCAGCTCCTGCTGCTTTCCTTGCATGAAGCCAAAAGTCTCTCTCTCTCCTCCTGAGAATAGAGCTAGAGACGGTATCCTGCGATCCCAAATAAAGAACGATCGATCGGTAGGAAAATGGCGGTGGGGGGGATTTTCCTGCAGACTTTTTTTGGGGATTTTCCCAGGGTCTCTGCTCCACGGGATATAAAATTATGTGTTTGGTGGTCCCTGAGGTCCAAAAGATTGGCGACCCCTGGACTAGACATGCCCAATTCACTCAACGGCTCATCCTATGGTTTATTATCTACAGTTAGTTCCCCACTCAACCCCAACCCAACCCTTCTCAGTCTTACCAATTGCTGAATGCTGAGAATCTCCATGGTCCTCCCTTGCAGAGCCGCAGTGCTCTCTCTCTCTCTCCAGCGCCTTGCCTGGACAGCTGCATTTATTCTGTCCCGGGGAAGGGTGGATTTAGGCTGCCATCCAAAAACTCCTCTGGCACCCACTTGGGCCCAGCAACTGGATTGCTGGAGTGCCATGTAACACCCGCTAAAATAACTTCATTAAATGCCTCTAGTGACTGCCCATATCCAGAGAGAGGAAGGTATGGAGGGGAGGGAGTGAAGGAACAGGCCATTAATTCAACATTTCAGCCGGTGAGTTTCCCAAGCCTTCGATGAAACCGGATTGGCTTTTCCTATCAGCCCAAGAGAAACGGGCTGTGGAAACACCATTTCTGGAAAAAAATTTCCCTGCACTGTTGCAGAGTTATAGCCGAGGAAGGGCGAAGTAGTTTGTTGTTCTGGACTAGTAGTCACCAACCAGTGGGCCGGGGACCACTGGTGGTCCACGAGAAAATTTTGGTGGTCCGCAGAGAAATGTCACCCCCAAAGCAATTAATCCAGGCTGCACAGGAACACAAGGTTTGCGTCGCTTGCATTGCGAACAACATGAGGTAGTGGGGGGAAGAGCGGAGGAGGGGACTTGCCCCATTTGCCCCACGTGCGTCACCTGGTCACCGGGCTGCTGCTTTCCGCTTCTTTCTTCTTCCGCTTTTGGCTGCACGCAAAGAAAGCAGCAAAAGTCTTTCTTTCTCTCCCCCAAACTCTGCCAGAAATGAGTCTTTGGGACTCCTGCTCCAAGAGGCTGTGGTGGCGTGACAAGTCTCACAAAGACTCATTTCTGGCGGAGTTTGGGAAAGAGAAAGACTTCTGCTGCTTCTGCTGCTTTCCTTGCATGAAGCCAAAAGTCTCTCTTTCCCCCACCACGCCCCCGAGAACGGAGCTGGAGACGGTATCCTGCAATCCCAAATAAAAAACAATTGATCAGTAGGAAAACAGGGTGGAAAATTTTTTCTGGACTTTTTTGAGGGGGGATTTTCCCAGGGTTTCTGGTCCGTGGGATTTAAAATTATGAGTTTGGTGGTCCCTGCGGTCCAAAAGGTTGGCGACCCCTGTTATGGACTATGACTCCCACAGGCAGGGGTGGGATACTACCGGTTTGGATTGGTTTGTGCGAACCGGATGTTAAAAGTTAGAGCTGGTTCGCCAAACCGGTATTTCAACCGACCGGCTGGCTCCACCCCTTCCCTCCTAGGAGTCTCCACGCGGCCCATTTTTGATGCAGGGAAAGCCTCTGGGCCCTTGGGAGGGCAAAAATGGCCTCCCCGGACTCTGGAGGCCCACCGGAAGCCTGAAACAGGAAGTTCCGGAAGGCCCTGCCACCATGGCGACACTCACCCAGCAACTGGGCGGTGAACCGGTTGCTGGGATTTTTAAATCCCACCCCTGCCCAGAGGGCCTTGTTAATGGCCCTGGTTGGCATTGGAGTCCAACATAATTCAGAAGATCCAAGAATTCCAGATTCCTGCAGCTCTGCAGCAAAAATTAAGCTTTCCCAAGCTAGTTAGTAGTCAGGCTTCAAACCTGACATTTTTCATAATAGGCTGCTTCTACCGTTAGCTAACGGCAATTGGTATATTTATGGTTGAGTAACGGAGAACGTAGGAGCGTTAAATACAGAATCGTGCACCTGAGGGTGACTCACCCCGTCTTAGGAAAATTGTTTCTTGTCACTTGGGAGTTTTAATTCCAAAGACAAGACTGAGAATCAAGTGCTGACCCTTTTTTAAAAAAAAAAAAAGAAAAATTGAAATAAGCCTCATTTCATATGCATTTCCACAAAAGTCCCACTTTTACAATGTCAAATTAATTCCACTTTGCTGACTGGATGGTGACCAAAAACCATAGCTGTTGGACTTCCTTGCATGACCAGAAGTAGGAAGAGCGGGTTTGAAGTATGAGACCCACAATTCTCCGATGGAATACAATCAGAGCACTTCGGTCTTAATCGAATTAGTAGTCAATTTAGTGGAATTTTAGAAGCGTTGATCGCGGATCGAATCTCACCAGGCGTAGGGTTGACTCGGCCTTCCCTCCTTCCAAGGTGGGTAAAATGAGGACCCAGATAGTTGGGGGCAAGAGGCTGATTCTGTAAACCGCTTAGAGAGGAATGTAAAGCACCCTGAAGCGGTATGTAAGTCTAAGTGCTAGTGTTATTCCTCCTTCCTCCCTCCCTTCCGTGGTGGCGCAGAACGCAGTATTGCAGGCTGATTCTGCCCACTGCCGGCAGTTCAATCCTGACCAGCTCAAGGTTGACTTAGTCTTCCATCTCTTCTGAAGTCGGTAAAATGAACACCCATATTGTTGGGGCCATATACCGACTCTGTAAACCGCTTAAGAATAATAAATCATGTCCTTCTAATGTCAACAATCTGGTCTTTCTTAATGTTATCCATTCTTTAACCCACATTAAATTTGCAGCTTGGTAGTACAACTCCCAGTTCGGGAGGCCAAATCCTCCTCTAACTCTAGCATCTTGTAGAAGTTTTAATTTTATTCTGGCTTTCTTACCTTGCCATATAAACGTCAACACAATTTTATTTAGTTCTTCAAAATAATCTTTACCAAGTCTAATTGGTATGGTTTGAAACAAATATAAAATTCTGGGTAAAATATTCATCTTGATGGTTGAAATTCTACCTATCAATGACAATTGTAAGTTGTAAGTAAGCACTGTGAAGCGGTATATAAATCTTAAGTGCTATTCCCCTCAGGTGGTAGCATCTGGGTGGCCATTGGGATTCAAGTGATGTCACCACATCAGAGAATGGAACAGTTGTAGAATGACATCATGACGTGCTATGACATCATCCGGGCTTCTGCTGGGTGTCGATGGGTGAAGTAGAAAGGCATGATGTGATCAACTGCCAAGGGAAATGTGAATTCCTTCAACACGGATATCTGAGTCATACAGGGCGAATGGCTGCATTCACACAACACTCTTAACCTGATAAGTGAATCAAACCCTTTTTCTAGGTTTATACAGAGACTGAATTATGAACTAACCCAACAGGCCGGTTGTGTCCAACGCTCTCAGCTAAAAACATCCTAACCAAAGAAAACAATACACTTTTAAATCTTTGGCCCCTCTATCAACAGGTTGTGTGAACATCGTTGTGTAATAGTGACCTACTTAGGGAAGTCATTGGGAGAGTTGGGGATTAGCGTACAAAAAGTTATGTTGGCTTGACATTTAAAGCAGGCCACTCATTCGTTTTAATGAGTTGTATTGTATTTTGTATTTGACGTTTTAAAATGTCTAATCAAGTTTTTTTTTTTCAAAATAAAACATAAATAAAGAACATCCAGAGTTTCTTCCTGATTAATTTGCTCACAAAAGAAATCCTAACTTTTAGAACAAACCTTTGGAGAAGTTTTCTGGCTCCCTTAGACCGAGCTATGGCTTATCATGGTTATGCAATTAGGTAGTTGTGTTTATCAACGACAGTTTGACATTTGAAGCATTGAGTGGGCACCTAGCCAGGATTTTCCTCTCGCCCCAACTAACTTGGTTCCCTTGGCTGCTGTTGGGAGTGCCTGCATGATAAGAAAAAATGCCCCAAGGATTACAGCCATGCCGAAGTCAGGACTGTGTGTGTCACTAGGTTGTGTCGGGAGTTCGTGTTACAGCTACAGACAGAAATAGACTCTTGCGAGGCTGGCTCTCATGGCATCCCGCTTCCTTCTCTTCCCAAACTCAAAACAAGCCTCAACGCTTGGCTTCTAAGGACAGCAGGTATTCCAACCCGAACCCCAGCAGGGCTTCTTCCAAAAGTGAGACCCAGAAAGAGAGGCCCAAGGAGAAGACCCCCCCCCATACTCTTCCAAGGTCCTTAGCCATAAGTGCCAGGTGCTCCCTGCTTAGTGACGTATCCCACGGCGGGAACCGGAGTGCCATACCTGCCCTAAGAAGGAGGTTAAGCGTTCACCTGTCGCTCGCCGAGGCGAGAGATGCCAATGGCGAAACGTTGTGCCCTACTTTGCTTTCCACCTGGCAGCCCCATCGCCCGGGGCTGATGAATGGAGACAAAACCCAAACAGGGGATAGGTTGGTTTATTTTGGGAAGCTCCGGGAAACTGCTTGGGAATGTGCACTCCTGAAGTCAACGACAGGAAGGAGCAGCCTTGGCTCGTCTCAAGAAACCAAAACAGGCCTGAAGCCGGGCTCTTGGAAGAGAGACCACCAGGAAACAACATGGCTACAGGCCGGGCTGTGAAAGGGAATGGGAAAAGAGGGCGCCAGAAGAAGAGAAGGCATCCTTAAAACATGACAAACGACTGCCATTTCATTGCCAAAGCTCTACATAGGTTCATCCACAAAGTGACTGGCTCAATTTGAGGGAGATTTCCCCCCATTTTCTGTCGAGCAGAGGCACACTAAGAAGGCTGCAGCCAGAGATAATTCTGTCAAAGGAGAGGAAAGTCAACCTCCGTTGCTGCAGCTCCCACAAAGGCAGGCGGCCATTTTCCATGCTGACTTTGATATTTGGGCCTGCTGAGAGTTAACGGTTCTCTTCACGAAGAAGCGAGAAAGGAAGTCCTTCCGTTACGTCTTTCCTCACAAAAGATGTGCTTGGTGTCAGACCATCTTCCATACCTTGATAGAAAAAAAAACCCACCAGAAATTTAAATGTCTAAGGAATTTCTCAATCATCCGGGTCATGTTTGTCCCAAAGACGCTTTTGCTAAAAATCAACTAGATTTTGCGTGGCTGTTGTCTTTTTTCTTTACTTCTGATCCAAGAAGCTTCTTCAATTCTGACTGGTGAAGGTATTTATATAAATCCTTGAGTGAGTGGTACTTGGCTTTTTGCTTCGTTACGAAACTATGTGGTCGGGCTCAGGTTTTGGGGAGGAAAATATATAATGAATGGTCGCAGGAACTGGGCCTGGCTAGTCTAGTGAAGAGAAGGACCAGGGGAGACAGGATAATATCTTCCAATATTTGAGGGGCTGCCACAGAGAGGAGGAAGGGGGGCAAGCTATTTTCTAAGGCACCCCAAGGCCAGACAAGGTATAATGGATGGAAACTGAACAAGAAGAGATTCAACCTGGAAATAAGGAGGAATTTTTTGACAGGGAGAACAATCAACCCATGGAACAGAAGTTGCCTTCGGAAGTTGTGGGAGGCTTTCAAGAAGAGACTGGACTGCCATCGATCAGAAATGGTGTAGGGTCTCCTTCTTGGACTAGATGACCTACAAGGTCCCTTCCAAGTCTGTTATTCTATTCAATCTGTTGAACTTTGACAAGATAGAAATGTCATCTTTCTAAATCAAAACATCTCATCTTTCTGCTTCTAGAAAAACGGAGATTCCCTACACCTTTCAGAGTCCACCATAATCCTGGGATGGTATCTCCTATCTTCCCAATCCGTTGGCTTTCTGTGGACAGGCTGAAATATTCTCCAAAGTTCAGGCCACAGACATCTTCCTTCCCCAACCAAGTGCTCTGCAGAAGCCCCGGAGTAGCATGTTGACTGGAGAATTTTGACTAATGTGGCTTCCACACCTCTGAAGAACGCCTAACTGAAAAACAGCCCACTGCGGAGATAAAAACTGCTGTGTTTCCCCCTCAAAATAAGACCCCGTTTTATATTATTTTGAGCCCTGAAATAAGAGCTTGGCCTTATTTCTGGGGAGGTCTTATTTTGGGGAAAACACAGTAGAGACTGAATTCAGTTCAGCTGCTTCGGTGTAATTTCAGAAGAGAAGACGCAACATGGACGTTTGGCTTAAGGAACAGGCAGGTTTTTCAAGGAACAAATCACAGATCTAAAAGTTTCTTCCGCAAGCCTTCATTCTTGGCAGGAACCAAGTCACCAGCACGTCTCTGGCTGTTGTCCTGCATGGGCCTCAGCTGAGGGTGGCGCTCCAAGATAAGCTCACAGAGTTCCTGGTGCCCATTCTCTGCTGCCTGGAGAGAGAGAGAGAGAGAGAGAGAGAGAGAACCACCACAGTGGACCAAGAGAAAACCCTTTGTTATGGCCCACCAGCAGCAGACTGGGACAGTGAGGAGGTTGGGGGAGGAACACGGGCCAGTCCTGGAGTCTGGGGAAGGCTCTGATGAGGGCTCTGCATCGGAGGCAGAGATGGGGCCAGGGCCCTCTGACAGTTATCAGCTGCCTTCAGAGTCAGACATCAGGGAGGAAGAAGAACAGCTGGAGCCTGTTCCCAGCGTGCACATGCACAGAGCTGCCAGAAGAAGGGAACAGCTAAGGAACAAGGGTCGACTCGGGAGTAAAACCACAGGTGGATGGTGAATGGTCCCTCCCACAGGGAATAAAGAGGAGCGAAAGGGGAGTGATGTTTGCAGGAGACAATTAGTTCAATTCATTAGCGTACAGATCTGTTTCCGACCACTTGCCAAATATTGTCTGCTACAGAGTGGCATTTGGAAGATATTAGCCTGGGCAACTCCCCAAGCCTGATAAAGGTCTGTAATTGGGAAATATCTTGAAAGACTGTTGGCCAGGACCTTGCTGGAGGGGAGGAGTCGGCTCCGTGCTGTTGGGGAAGACTAGATCAGAAAACCCATCCCATGGCCTGTCTCCCTTGACCAACTGAGCAATGGAGGTGGTTTAGCGGTGGGGGAAGATGATGGAAGAGAAGGAAGCGAGGGGAGAACTGTCTTACAAACAACACTCAACTGCATATTGAGTCCTGGGTGATAGGGATGGAGACTCAAAGCTTAGTCTGTCAGGGGTCTCCAAACTTGGAACTTTTAAGACTTGTGGACTTCAGAACAAGCCAAAGAAACAATGATTGTATGGGCAAATTTTTTTGGTTATACTATAGAATTAGATAAATGGCAAAAAAAACTTTGGGATAGGAACTATAAACTGACAACGGCTACTGAATATAAGGAAAATCTCTGTAAAATGTTTCATAGGTGGCACTTGCCATGGGCAAGACTGGCAAAAATATTTAGCGTTATGTCCACCAAATATTGGAAGTGTAATCAGGTACTTATTATCATATGTGGTGGACTTGTATGAAAGCAAGAAAATAATTGCACGACAATACATACTTGGTTGGAAAAGATGATCGAGCACCAAACTTATAGTTCTGAAACCAGAAATATTTTTGCTGGGTATTGTGCCAGAGGGCTATGACAAAAGGACTATATATTTAGTTTTGCATGTATTGACAGCTGCAAGGATTGTATTTGTATAATACTGGAAAAATGAGAACACTCCCATCAAATGAGGATATAATTAGGAAAATATTGTATGTGCAGAGATGGATAGATTGACATTAAAAACAAAGGACAAAGACGCAGAATATTACTTAACATGGAACAGATTTTATGAGTGGTTAGAGATAAAAGGTAGAAATTAGATGAATGAAAGATTATTGCTATGTATGAATTAAATATAAAGATGGTTTAGAATTATAAATATGACAATAGAATCAACAGAATTACAAGTAAGCTAATACAAAGAGAAATCTAGTTAAAACTATCCTTACACTATTGTTATTAGTATATGCGTTAATATTCTTTTTTGTTCTTCCTTTACTTTCTTGTAAATGATATGCCCTGACAATACACTGTATTCAAAATGTTTATGAATTAAAAAAAATATACTAAAAAAAAAAGACTTGTGGACTTTGACTCCCAGAATTCCCTAGCTGGCTGAGGAATTGTGGGAGTTGAAAGTCCACAAGTCTTAAAAAGTTCCAAGTCTATGTGATCTCAAACCTGTTCAGATACGATTTCGACTCAGCTCTCCAAGGGTTATAGAAGAAGCTGCCTTTTCCCATCTCAGGCTATTAGTAAATCTACCTCCTGATGATTAAGCCTGAGTGTTTTTTTTTCCAGCATAGCCTGGAGGCCTTTTATCTTGTGAAACACACCAGAACCTTCCTATCTTCCTTATCCTTTGGGGCAGAGGACAATCTCCTATCCCAAGCCAAAAATCACTGGCTCATCCAATATTTTCTACTGCTGGGATAACAAAACAATAGCAGTTAGACTTATATACTGCTACGTAATACTTTACAATACTCATTGAGGGGTGTACAATCTCACCATTTGGCCCCAACAATATGGGTCCTCATTTTACTGACCTCAGAAGAATGGTAGACTGAGTTAACCTTGAGCTAGACAGGATCAAACTGCTGGCAATGGGCAGAATTAGCCTGCAATACTGCATTCTCACCACTGAGAGGGAGGGAAGGAGGGAAGGGAAGGGAAGGGAAGGGAAGGGAAGGGAAGGGAAGAGAAGGGAGGGAGGGAAGGGAAGGGAAGGGAAGGGAAGGGAAGGAAGGAAGGAAGGAAGGAAGGAAGGAAGGAAGGAAGGAAGGAAGGAAGGAAGGAAGGCAATAACAATAGCAATAGCCCGTAGACTTATATACCACTTTACAGAGTCTAAGCAGTTTATAGAGTCAGTTTATTGCCCCAAACAGTCTGGGTCCTCATTTTTCCGACTTCGGAAGGACGGAAGGCTGAGTCAACCTTGAGTTCTGTAAGGATCAAACTCTAGACTGTGGGCAGAGTCAGCCTGCAATACTGCATTCTAGCCACTACGCCACCGTGGTGCTATACTGCCTCACAATGCTTCACAGCACCTTCTGGGTGGTTTAACAATTTCACCATATTATCCCCAACAATCTGTCTAGAGAAGAGGGCGGGAGAGCACTGGGGCTGTCCTGCCCACGCGCACACACACACACCTTGTGGAGGCAGGTCTTCCCATCGTCATCCTTGGCAGCCGGATCAGCTCCGTGGTCCAGCAGCAGCTCGACTATTGCTCTGTGACCGCAGTAAGCCGCTCGATGCAGGGGGGTGGCCCCGCCATGGGTGCGGACATTGCAGGAGGCTCCATGGCCCAGGAGGAAAAGGCAGGTGTCATAATGCCCGTTGCGGCTGGCATAGTGCTGCGGAAACAGGAAAGGGGTCCCTCTGAAAAACGTGCCACGCCCGGCCGTTTGGGGCACCTCAACTTCCCACCGACGCAGATGGCATGCCTGGCAGTTGAGAATTCATGCATAATATCCTCTGAGTCACCGGGACCTGGATTATGGAACGCACCTGTTTTCTGGAGTTCACCTGCCACATCCACTGATGGCATAAACGAATCAAATCACAAGCTTAGATGGGTTTACACAACCCCCCCAAGTTCTCTCCTTGATCGGTTTCCATCTATTGCTTCTTGTTTGCCTTCTGGTGCTTTGGAAAATACATTCCACACACACACACACACACCCCACCACTTCTCTCTTTCTAGCAGCCCCTTAAAAGCCTGTTGCCCGTCACCCTCTTGGGCAAAGCATGTGAGCCATTTCCTCCTTTCGGTGGTCCGTGAAAGGATACCTGTAGTACGTGGATAATAAAGTCAAAAAAAAAAAGGTGAACAACATTTTGACAGAACTACACAGATAAGTTGAGGCTGGGTGTGACAAGGAATGGCTGGGAGGGGAGGGGCCAGGCAAGGCACACCCCTTGACATGAGTGACATCGAGCTGGCCACGCCCACCCAGTCACGTGACCAAGCCGCGCCTGCCCAGTCACATGACCACTATGCACACTCGCATGGCCAAGTCATGTGACCACTGAGCCACGTCCACCCAGTCACATGACCACCAAGCACGTCCACCCCAGTCACATGACCACCAAGCCATGCCCACCCAATAAGCCACGCCCACAGAACCAGTAGTAAAACAAAATTGAATTCCACCATTGCTCCAATTCCCTTAATCATCCTGGTTGCTCTTCGCTGCACTTTTGCTAGAGTCTCAACATCTTTTGCATAAAAGTGGGGTGACCAAAACTGGATGCAGTACTCTAGGTGTGGTCTTACTAAGGCTTCTTTAGAGTGGTATTAGCACCTCCCTTGATCTTGATTGTATCCCAATTTAGGATTGCACTGGCTTTTTTGGCTGCTGCTGCACACTTGCTGGCTCCTATTTAGCTGGTTGTCCACTAAGACTCCAAGATCTCTCTCACAGTTACCGCTATTCAGCCTGGTTTCACCCAGTCTATATGGGTACTTTTGGGTTTTTCTTGCCTAAATGTAAGTCTTTACTTTTCTCTACCTTGACTTTCCTTTTGCTAGATAGAGCTCAGTGTTAGGGTGAGTTAGATTAATATGAAGTTAAATTCATACAAAGTTAAGACAAGCGCAAGGTAACTAAACAGCCTTACTGTCTTTGGATCAATTTCATTAACTTCCCTAGTTTGTTTCCATGTCAAGAGCCTGTCTCCATAAAATCTAAACCAGGGGTGTCCAACCTTGGCAACTTTAAGACTTGTGGACTTCAGAATTCCTCAGCCAGCTTTGCTGGCTGAGGAATTCTGGGAGTTGAAGTCCACAAGTCTTAAAGTTGCCAAGGTTGGACACCCCTGATCTAAACAGTTCAAGACTAAGAGATACAAAAGGGACCAGGCATATTTACATTTTCTCTTAGGAAGCTGTTTATAATTTCTTTTCTTTGGTCTGTCCCACAATCCAGACCAAATAGTTTGGGGTCCAAGCAACCCAATACCTTTCTAACAGCAACATCCCGATGGGGAAATTTCCTCTGGTCCTTGCTTTTATCATCCTTTAGACCCGGGGTAGCAATTCATTTCCCCAAGGAGCACCCATGAGAAACTGGGCTTATTATGGGCTGGACAGGGAAAAGCCAAAAGGGGGTGGCCCAAAGGCCGAAAAATGCCCAGATCTGGTTTAAAACAGTCAAGAAAGGTTGAGTTATTTCATTTACCTATTCATGGTGGTAAGAGAAATGTTTCACTCCTGCTTTTATTGTGCTCATCATGAAGGACAATATGAAATTTGCTTTAAACATCATGAAATTTGCTTTAAAGGACTATTGCCTTTATCAGAATATTGTAACTTGATGGAGGCAGAAAAGCTGGCAATGCTTTAAGAGCAGCGTTTGGCAACTTCAGCGGGTTTTAAGATGTGTGGGTTTCAACTCCCAGAATTCCCCAGCCAGCCATTGGGGAATTCTGGGAGTTGAAGTCCACGCATCTTAAACCAGCTGAAGTTGCCAAACGCTGCGTTTAGAGGCACTTGGAAGATGTCAATCACCCAAACACCTTCCTGATATTTATTAAAACAGCCACCTCTTTTTTTCCAGGGCATCCCTGCAAACCCCAAAAGATGTTGTAGCTGCTTTAAAGACCTCATTTCCAGGTTTCCATACCATACCTAAAGCACTTTTTTTTCCTACATCCTTAGTTCTGTACCTAATAAATCAAGCGGAGAGCTAATTAGCTGTCCCCCTACTATATAAAAAAGTGTGTTGTGGTAACTACAGGTCATAACACATTAAGACACAGAGCAGCTTAAAACACAGTAACTAATGCAGACGCTAAGAACAATCGAAGAACGCCTTAAAGTTACAGCTCTAAAACAAGTAACAAATTCTAGCGTTACCACATCCTTGGCATCCGGTAAAATAAACTATTTTCTATTTTTAACAGATAATAAAGTTGCCACTCGGTGCTACTATAAGGAAATGCATTGGGTAATAAAAGGCTAGTGGTCTCTGCCTCAAGAGGCCTTCCTTCCAGGACAGGCTGAGGAAGTAGAAGCTTCCTTAATGGAGCACCAGAAAGTTCAGGTTAAGTGTCACGCCCCTGAATCGGTGTGGCTCTGTTGGCTGTGGAGGAAACTGGGGAAGGGCAAAGTCCAGCTGGGCAGAGCAGGGGAGAAGTAGAACAAGGGAGAGGGGGTTCAGAGGAAGACCCACCCCCTCTTCATCCTAGGACACACAGGGAGGAATGGAGAAGGGTTGCATGGCTTATGAGGAAGGAAGGAAGGGAGGGAGGGAGGGAGGGGGAAAGGAAGGGAAGGAGGGAGGGGGAGGAAGAAAGGGAGGGGGGAGGG